TTTTTGGATTTTCAGTTTTGTTAAGTTCTTCATAGGATCTTCAGTTGTTAAGGGTTTTCTTTTGCCTTTTTGGGTTCATGTTTGTGCTTTTTTTTTTAATTAATATTAGTAATTAAGATATTTTTTTAGGGGACCATCTGACAACACTCCAGGAGTGTGCCTCTTAAGATGAAATGCGAAAGTTTGGCCTTGTTGTGAGCCATCTGGTAGGTTATCAAGTTTTCATGTATCCACCCGTTTTCCATTTTATTTCCACACATTCATTGTGTACTTCTTGCTTAAACGAGTTGTTAACTGCATCTTGCGCAGTTGCAGCTCTGGTTCGTTTCTTGCTGTTTCTTCGGCTCTTGTTCGAAATTAAGGTATGTTTCGGCATCATGCTTGAGATATTTAATTATTTTTTTTCGATCACAAGAATTATGTCAGCCTTACCCTCAGGGGTACGATTTTCTCTATACACCTCGAATTACCATTATTTAAGAAGGATTTCTCACTGCAGCAATTTAATAGCTCGTCATATTAACATCTTCCTCATTTTCTTTGGTCCTCCTGTGAATATCTGCTATTGCTTAGTCAAATATATTTGTTTGCCGATCAACGGTTTCGTGAAATGACTTAAATCCCTTCTCTGTCTGGCTGCATTTACAAGTTGAAGCAATCACATTTTTTTTCGAGTCAGTTTTCCGTGATCACTGGGTACAAGCCCAGAAAGACTCTGTTTCTAATAGATTGAAATTCTTGAGATAATTTTGAAAGAGAGTACACATTCTGGAAAGCAGTACTTCCTTTTGAGACCTCTTCTTTTACATGTTTGTCCTCATTATAAAACTGAAAACATGTCTTTGAGGCCACTAATTAAATTTTGAACTGATTGTACAGCCAATATTACTACTGGAATTCAAATATTACAAACAGTTAGTCTGCTTCACAACAGCATTTGTCGAATACAAATTGTACAGACAATTTGAATGAGGTAAGTATCTTTTCTCTCCTCAGTGCAAGTGCTTTACATGCATGGCATTTCTATACATATATAAAAAAAAAAAAAAAAAAAATGATTCGATAATTTCTTATGATTTTTATCACCTTACTAAAATTATCGAACTGAAAATTCAAAAAGCGCCATAGCCTTAAATTAACTAGTTTGAACTCAGCAGCTGATAGTCCATTTCCTTAGCCGCAAGACCCCCCTCGCTGGACCGGAGCACATCCTGTGATAGTCCATTTTCTTAGCCGGAAAACCCCCCCTTGCCGGCACCGGAGAACGTTCGGAAGTAAAACCCGAGCGCACGATAAAGCACGAAGCTATTAAGTACTGCATTAAAAGACCAAGCTCCCATCCCATTGCACCCGCCTTTCCAGAAGTGCAAAATAACGACCCCCAAATGCCAGGCCGTGCTGGCCGCCACCAAAATCACCCGACAAAACGCTACAAACGGGAAAGGAGCCGCCTTTTCCCGCCAAAACCCGGCCTCGACGCCTGATCTGTAGCCGTGCACCAAGGCGAGTACAGCCGCTGTGGAGAAAACGGCGAGCACCTGGAAGGACTGTGAAAACTCGAGCCACACGAACGAGGTGCACATGAGTACGGAGTGGTTGAGGACCTGAAAACCAGGGAACTTTCTGGGATTTTTTAGGATGACGAGGAGCGTTCGTGGGGCGTGGAGGAATCGGGAGAGGTAGAATACGTAGGACCAGAAGAAGATTCCGCCCGAGGGGCGGGTCCCGAGGGGGAAGCAAAGAAGCCACTGGAAAGGGGTCCGGTGCCGGCGCCAGAGCCACCGCGTGTCCCGGATCTCGGCGGTGGCAGACAGGAGGACGCCGGAGCAGGTGGCAGTAGACACGAGGGAGACGGCGAGGCTGTGGAGGGCCGGGATGGGGCCCAGGGGGACGGGCCGCCGGCGGCGGAGGAGGCGGAGGAGGAGGTGGAGGGATGTGGCAGCGGAAAAGTGGGCGGCGATGGCGGCAGCCAGGAATGACCAGGTTGCCCCCCATGTGTCGGTGGGGCCCCACCGGAATCGGGCGATGGACGGGTGCTCCGAGAGCCAGAAGGTTAGATCTTTGAGGAATAGAATTGTCATTTCTTATTATTGTTATTATTTTATTTATTTGTTTCTTGGGATCACAACATTAAATTTGGTTGAGAGGTATGGTGATTGGTGAGTTTTATAAAGTTTGGTGAAATTGTGAACAAGAATGAACAAATAAGAGATGAATGGAAGTTTGAGAAGGAGATATAATTTTTTTCCTTTTTACCAATAAACCATCACTTTTGTGCTGGGAAAAAAGAATCTTCTTTTGTCTTGGTCATTATGATTCTGGAAGAAAATTTGTTAGACGTGATAATTTTTCCTCGTTGGGTTCAAGACTTTCAAGCTCATGATCTTTGACTATTAAAATTTGAATTTTTTTTTTTTTTTCCTCTTCAAAGTCTTTGATCTGGGCTGCCACGCTTGAACTATTATTGTTGACAATAATATGCCAAAGTTGGAGACCAATATTCCTCCCTTTTCATTTGAATTGAAGTTTAGTAGTATAGTGTTCGTGTTTTTTTCTCTGTCTTTATGTAAATAACGTTGCGTGTTGCGTGTTGTGTAAGCTATTTGAGTATAAAATTTTTTTTTTATAGAATTAATATGTATATACTTGCATAGAATAAATCTAGATGGTTGATTCTAAAAATGATTATAATATTTGAATGAACTCCAAATAACATTTAAAAAATATTTCTTACAAATGTTTAAGGTAATATTATAATATAAATAATTAAATAATAAAGAGAATATACTAAAAAATAAAAACAAACAACGAAAATATAATAAGATAATAAGATAAGTCATAATTTAATTTTAAGCATATACCTTGTAATTATTTTTTTTAATTTAATTATAATTTAATTAACCACTAGATCTAGAATATTTATTCGTCAAATACCTAAAAATATTATGATATAATAGACTTACACCGATAAATATTCCACTATTCAAGTTACGACTTTGCCTTTTTAAATTTTTAATTTGAAATCATTATAAAAAATTTTAGTGTTTAGTTGTCGTTTAAAAATGGTTACTCTAAAAAAATTAAGTTTCTTGAATATTTTATTATTTAAATGCCATTGCAGAAATGTAGCGCAAAAATAGCGTGAAATAACGCAAAATAACGTAAAAAAGTGTGCTATCTTAGCATTCCGCCGCGTAAGCTTTTCGAGAAAAACGCTAAATATATAAAGATACGTCGCGCTTTTTTGAAAAAGAAGAAACAATATAGCGAGATATTTAAAACAGTGAGTAGTATACAATCTTATCTTATGTCTGCCTTCTAGAATGTTGAGACTAATGGTTAAGTTACATTTATAATAACAGGTTCTACAAACTTTTTGTCAACCGTGATCTTCACGGTAACTATAAGAAATGTCTATCAGAGATAAGAGTGTGAATGAGTTGGGAACACAGTCTCGATGTCCAGAAAATTATTACAATAATAACAGTACAATAAAGAAAAACTAAAGGCTTACTCATGATAGGGGTTGATGGGGTTTTCAAGTAACCTTTGTATTTTTAGTTCTTGATCTTACATGTGTCTGGAGCACAGGTTTTCAGATCCACACGCTCTAACTGCTTATGGGATCATGGAAAAATTAACTGGTCGACAAGGTGCCGTTTTTTCAAGACAATTTCGAGTTGTTTTATCGGTCAATGTATGATTTTACCTGTATTCGGAATATCATGCTAAAATAGTTTGTGTTTCTTACAATCATGAGGAACAATCTAGAACATCTCATGCTAAAAGGTTTTGTGGGAACACTCGATTACTCGAGTTTGGGTATGTCAGAAAATATGTTCAAACTAAATGCAGTTACTGCATTGCGAAACTCTGAGAATACATCTCGCCCGATCTATTTGTTGCTTTCAGCTATTCTGATCAAATTAATCTGACATTTCAAATAATCCTCGTCCTTTGTTCAATTTAGGTCCTTTTTAAGGCAGGACTATTTAGGCTATGTTTGGTAAAACTAATTGATAAGCTAGCATATGTATTTTTTGAGCTTATAACTTATAGCTTATGACTTATAGCTGAAAAATTAGCTTATATGATAAAAGTGTTAGGTAAAATTACCTCATAAGCTAGCTGAAATACAAAATTCAACTGGCTTATTTGAAAAGTTACTTAAAGTAACTTATGAGATAAGCCCGACTTTTCAAAAAAGTTCATCCTACCAAGCGAGCCTACATAGCTTTATGAGCCATAAATAGATTTGCCCAAAAATTGCATCATCAGCTCACACCCCGAAAGAATCATCAGACATGAGCTATTGTTTAGTCGTTTTCGTGACGGCCTTGAGATTTTTTTTTGAATGCTTACTCTACATATGTTTCTTTCTTTTCCTACAAACTGTTTTCTAATGAGTTCTACATGAAATTTTTTTTGAATGCTTACTCTACATATGTTTCTTTCTTTTGTCGATGTCAGGCACCCAAATATATAGGAGATGGCCTATTAAGCGGTTGTCCGTACTTCGTGGAGTGAAAGTCTTTTAATAAATGAATAAAGGTTGTGTCTTTTCGGTTCATTAAAAGCGGGCACTACAGTTCTTATAATGATGAGAGAGGCCCTACAGAAAAGGTGTCTCTATAGTGTCTACTCGCCACGCTTCTTTAGATAAGATTGCTCCTAGGAGTTCGTCGTCTTAAGACCTAAAGGAGGTCTCATTAATGTACGTGGGGCCGCCTGGACTCCCTGCTGGGTGAAGTTGGCGGTGCTGAAGGAGCTGCGTGAGGTTGATCAAGAAGAGATCAGAAGGCTAAGAGAGGAAGCGTCGACGTCCCAGGGGCTTAGAGATAGGTTTTGTGCACTGGAAGATGTTAATGTCGATCTGACTAGGCTCCGGGGATGCGGTTCTAGTCAAGCAGAGTCTAAGTCGGCTGAGCTGCAAGAAGAAGTCGGTTTGCTGACTCGTATTGCCGTTTTAGGGAACTTCTGTGCAACCTCAACACCGAAGTCGTAAGAACGTAGCGCCTGGAAAAGAGACTAGAGGTGGTGGATTGGGCCTTAGCTGAGGGGGGCGATGGCGGCGAAGGAGGGGCCATAGCTTCAGTTGCTTTGGACATCGGCAAAGCTCTCCGCATCAACTAGGCCTTGATAAGGCTTCAGGAGGGGTGCAGAGTTA